TGGATCTCCATGCGAGGACCTCATAGCTGCTCAGGCGCTGGGCAGTGGACCCCCACTGGATCACCTGACTGGAAACTGCATCTCCGACTCACACCTCTGGCCAGGAGTTGGTCACTAAAGCCACCTCCGGGGGTATCTGTCATGGCAGCCTGAAGAGACTAAGCAGGCCCAGTGCACACAGCGGCTGCTCTCACCCAGGACAAGCTCCTGCTGAGTTCGTGACAGAGACACAGCTGCAAGCCACCTGGCTGATGGTCCTGGGTGCGCCGTGGACCACATTCCACAATACGAATGTCCTCACTGACTGATAGAATGAGTTGGGGGCAGGGCAGGGGCGGGGGCAGGGCACTGCCCTTGTCCCCACTCTGTGTCATGTTGTCAGCACTGAGGGATGGAATTCTTGGTCATCACCATATGGCAGGCTATGTGTCTGTGAAAAGTGACAGTCACTGAGCTGACTCCAGGCCTCATAAATTCAAGTGTTATCACTCTCCGTGTGAATGAGATTGACAGCTCAGAAATGTAGGGCTTCCAGTCTTTCACCTCTGGAGAGAGAGCTGACATCAGCTCTGCTTTGTCTGGATTTCAGAGTGCTGGTGTGGACACCCCAACCTCTCTGTGTGTCTCTGTCCCCCATGTGCCTAGATGAAATCTCTAGAACTCCATGTCAGGCCTAGTCCTGGGTCTCGTGGCCGGGCCATCAGCTGTGTGTCTGTCAGGGTCACACGATCTTTTTGCTCTTCCTTCTACTGCTCTGTAAAATGGGACTAATGACTAGTTTTGCACAGCACTGACATGACATGTGAAAGATAGTAAATACCCAGTCCCAGCAGATATGACTATGATGAATAGAGGGCCCCAAGTACTTCCATTTTAAAGCAAAGTTTTTAGAACAAAGTCGGAAGACCTCTTTGTCTTGGGAAAAATAAATGAAATATTCATACTAGAGTTTTGGCTCCTCAGAAGCAGTCAAGAAACAGTCCGTGCAGTCTTTGGGCCTGGTTCCTCTCCGTGCTGCCACACTCAGAGGGCAGAGCACTCATTGCTGGAGGCGACCAGGTGCACGTCTGCCCTTTGGTGGCTGACGTCCTTTCCTCTGGGGGCTACCCTGCCATTCTGTGGCTGTGTGTGTGAGCAACAACAGAGTCGCATGCTTGTTCTTGGGTCTGTGCAAACCAGCCCTCTCAAAGTCTACCTGCTCTGGAGGGGATTGGGGAGGGACCACGCAAGCCTGTCTTTGAAGTTGGCTTATACACAAAAGCACAGGCATTCAAGCAGGCAGAGGAAGGAAGGAACATGCTGTACCCACCTGCCACTGCTGATGAGGGGCTTATTTCTAAGACACACACAGCACAATGCACACACAATGCAGAGAGAAAACAAGAGACATAGATCACACATTTCAGATGGTTGGTGGACAAAGTTCAGTTCATGTCAACGCAGAAAGCTTGCTCAGGGGCTGAGGTGCACATGGAGAGAGGGGTTGCTCCCCATCTCCTGCATCAGAGGCTCCCCTCTAACCAAATCCCAGCAAACAGGCACATACATACACACAGAAACTAGCACAACAAGCTGGTCCTGGCCCAGGGCATGAAATGTGGGACAAGACTATGGACAGCAGCGTCGGAAGACAAGTGACAAGGGCAGGGCTTCCAGGAGGCCAGCATGGTGCCTGAGACCTCTCCACTCACAGGGGAGAAAAGGACCTTTAAAGAAGGGTCTCCCACTGCAGTCACCAGTGGAACAGCTCTCTGGTGAGGACCAAGCCCTTGAGCCCATCATCTCAGTAGACAAGAACATGCTGTGTCAATTAACACGAGGCTCCTGGTGGCAGCACTTAACTTAATCCAGCACTGTAAATCTCACTGAATCCTAGGCTCTTGCTACAGAAGGTTCGCTATCTCTAAATTTTCTAGTTCACCCCCATAGATAAACCTTTAGATCATACTGCAGTCAAACAACCCCATGGCTCTATCTTCTCTATATATTCCACATAGGAGGCGATTCAGCACTTGGCTTGCTGCTTTTGAAAGGGGTGAACATTGCCTTTGATAACCAGGTCAATGGATGAGCTTGTAAGTACCCCTGTGTCACATGCTGGGTATGACAGGCGGGAGGATTTCTTATCTAAAGGTGGTACACTGAGCAGTATGGATGGGCACAGGCCAAGCAGATGGCACCCCCCCCACCCCCCGAGCCCTTGGGCTCCCCATGAGGCCGAGCCCTCCATGTCTGGGCGCCCAGCACTCACCATACAGTGTGATGCTGGCATTGGTGTTCCCAAGCTTGTTGGTGGCCACGCAGGTGTAGTTCCCATAGTCCTTCTCTGAGACATTGAAGAAAGTCAGGGTGGACATGTGGCCTTTGTTCTCAATCCTTACTCCATCCAGGCCAGTGGCCAACCTGCAAGAAGAGACAGGGCTGCTGGCCTGGCCCTGAACTTGGGCTGGGGAAGAAGGTGCTGAGGTAATGCAAAGAAATCATAGATCAATTCTGCAAAGAGGCTCTCTTCCAAGACGCTTCCCTCTAACTAATCTACACCTCCATCTCAAACTTTAACTACCATAGTCTCCAGCCGGAGGGACGAGGAAAGACTAGCCATGCTCCAAAGACGAAACTGACTGACTTCTAGTCATCAGGACTCCCCTGTCCGCAGCTAATCTCAGATTTGGAAACAAGGTCAGTTCATTCTGTTGACCTCCCAGCTTCCTCCATGTTTATCTTCTGACTCTAAAGGACATTTGCAGAGGAGGCTGTGACACTTTTCTATTTTGCTTTGCCTTCTCCCTGAACCTGATCATCCTCTTCCATGTAGGAGTGACCCCACAGCTCTGGCCCATCTCAGTCTACTTCCTGGAGGTACCTGGCATCTTCCTTGAACCACTGGAAGTCGGCCACGGGCACTGCAGAGGCCTCACAGCTCAGGACCCCCTTCTGACCCACCGAAGCACCAGTGTTCTTGGCTTTCGAGATATAGGGAGGGTCTGTGGGGAAAAGCAAACAAAGAGTAAACCACATGGGCTGATTCCACAAAAAACATGAGAGCTACAGCCAGCCGCTTGCTGTTTGTCTTGTGACACCCTTACTTCCCAGTAAAATGATCAGTTATTACAAGAAAAGAAATTCTCATACAGGGCATGGTGGTGCGTGCCTACAACGCCAGCACCCCGGAAGGCTGGGCGGAAGGATCCCTGAGAGTCTAAGCCAGCCTGAGCTACGTGGTCCCCTCAAGCCAGCTTGGTCTACACAGTGAGACCCTGCCTCAATGCAAACAAATGCACGCGCAGAAGTAATTTCTTACCTAAGGACTCCGCATCTACCTAGCGTCTTCTTAGGCCTCAGCCCAGGCTAAGCACGCTGAGGCCCTGACAGCACCGAGGGCCCTAGAGAGCAGGGGCAGCGGAGGGGTGCCGGCCTGCAGGAAAAGGCCTGCCAGCGCCCGCTGGTGCGCTTAGCCCTTGTCCCCATCTCCCGGAACGCCCACCGGGAGCGCGGCACTCACAGTTCACGGTGATCTTCACTTTGCGCACGTCTGGCGCTGCGACATCGTTCAGGGCGCTGCACTCGTACTCCCCGGACTGGTCGCGCTTGATGTCCGAGATTTCCAGGTACTCGTCCTCACTCACAAAGCCCTGGCCTTCGGGGAACAAAAGGGAGGGCAGAAACAATAAGGGGCTGTTAAAGCAGGGCAGAGCCACACGCAGAGCAGGAGGTAAAGAGGGAGCGGGCGCAGCCCTAGTCAGGACCGGTCCGCAGGTCCAGCACAGGCGCCCCGAAGCGTATCTCAGTTGCTAGCCCAGGACTTTGGGTTTTCAGGGCATTGGAGTAAGAAATTAATACCAATGTTTTCTTCAATGATTAGCATTAGTATTAAAAGGTACATGTTAAACAACCTACTACACTGATAAACCTTGTTTTTTTTTTTTTTTTCTTTTTGCAGAACCAGGGATTGAACTCAGGCCCCTGCGCTTTCTCAGGAAGTGCTTATTCCACTGAGCCGTCTCCCCGGCCTAAAACTTGATTTGTTAAAGAGAATTGTGAAGTATGACGTGATAAAGTCTGTGGAATAACTAGATCATGTTAGTATGAGCAGTCTTCACGTTTCCTATATAGAAATGCTCTTATATATAAAACCCTAATCATCACTACTAAGTACCTGTAATACAGGTAAGCAAATACTTTGTTTTAATACAAATTCAAAATAGCTCAATTTCAATTTTAGGTGGAGTCATTCCACAATGTATTTGTGTTATAAAAGATTATGTGGAACATGATAGCAAAATGTGATTTTTACTAATTAAAAATTTTAAAACTATGGTGAATAAGATAGAGTGGAGAATGAATGAATCAATGAATCATTTCATCATTCTTACATAGTAGATACTCAATAAAAATTTGCCCACATTTTAAAACAAAAATGATATTTAAAGTAGTAAATCTTTAGTTAGGAGAGCAGCCGCATTGACTCACAGTGTAATTTTGGGGCATGTTCTGGAGGCTTCATGCTCAAACAGAAAATTTTTAATTCATGACCCAAAGCACTACGGGATTGGAAAGTTTGCTTTGTCCACCGTTCCATGTTCTCACAGCCTTCTGGACATGACGCCTTACTCTTCAGCCATGCCTTACGGCTCACACAGAGAGCGCAGATCCTCCATCTCCAAACAAATATTGAGTTTGTTTGAAATGCTGACCTCCCATGAACATGCAGTCACCATCAGGGCCAAAGGAGAGGCATGGCCATCTTACTGTCTCGTGAACCTGCTATCTTTCGTGTTTCTAGTTCAAGGGCCAGATTAGTTGCTGGGATGATGAAAGCTTAGTACACCCCTCTCACCCCCACACAGAGATGTATTTTATCTGGTGGGTGCTTGTTAATCCCATTACTGGGGTTCATGACAGAGCAGAAAGGCAGGCTGTGTCAGGGCTGGGAGGATTTGGTCGCTTTGGCATCCTGGCTGTGGCCCAGGTCTAAGCTTGGAGGAACTCTCACAAGCCACGCACAAGTCCGCGTGCTTTGGGTCCTGATGCTCCGGTCGCCTCTTTCCCTGCCTCGGGGCTCCACAGCTGGAGTGCAGTGCCAGCGACAGGATGTTGGCCATCCCACGAAGCTACCCACACAACAACTTGACATAGGAGAACCTGTACTGTGACATCCTGTAACTCACTTGTGTCTCAAATTTTCGATCAAGGAGATTATGGGGCACAGAGGAAAGTGATCAATGATGTAGAGTGTGCCTAAGGAGAGTCACATGGAAAGAAAACATTCTCTCAGGCTTTCCTAGAGAGAAAGCTGGTCAAGCAATTGCCGTGACTCATCCAGATGGCTGACACTGACAAAGGATCTGCAAACTGCAGTGCAGGGTTTCAGGATAAATCCTGCGGGGATTTGGCTGACCTTGTCAAATACAAAAGTTACATTTCTTGTTATATAGGTCTTGCGTTATCTTGGTCTTAACCATCCAGCAGAAAAGTATAAAAATGAAGTATAAAAAGTAAAGCCATATTAATACACTGAGCTGTAAAAGGTTCCCATCAACAACTTCTGACATTGCCAGCCCTAAGGAAAACCCACTACTATTATGGACTACTGGACTATATGAAATATTTTGCTGAATTCATATACTTACAATATTTAAATGACAATAGAATACCCTTCTCTGACAAAACTAAAAGGAAAAAAAAAGGGATAAACATTAAGGATCATTTTGTATCTGCATATTCTGGATCATTTTGTATCTGCATATTCAAAATAATTAAGATAGATATACAGCTGCATTCTCTTAATTCAGTGAATGGAGAGATTTGTTCTAATAGTGTTTGTGAACAGGATATCATGTCTGCATCTTGTACTTTGAATAACCAGTAAGGCAACAATATGCAATGTGTTAATTATTGAAACTGTCCTACTAATCAGTTTCAAAATTGTCTCATTGTTATTTGTTTCTCAATAAAATTATTAAAAAAAAAAAAACCTGGAGTCACCGCAAGTCTGTACCCTCTGGGATCCCATGAAGAAAACTGCACCAGCCAGAGGACTAACTACAGCCTAAACCTGGGGGTAAGGCCCAGGGAACCCCATAAAGGTGCATTCACATTTTGTAGGGACTCTGGCTGAAGCTGGGCAAAGCTGGACAGAAGAGCTCCCACGCGGGCTGAGGGAGCGCCGCATCCCAGCCCCCGGGTCCCAGCAGCTTCAGCTGCTCCAGGCAGTGGTGGGAAGTGGCGAACATTTTTCAGAGAGAACTGCAGAGCATGGGGCCTCCTGGGGCCTGGCGGGTTAGTCCTTTTGTGGTGTCTCAGCTGTTGTTGCTACTCAAAGTACAGCCAAACAGGAAGGATGAAAAAGTGCACTTATGCAAAATGGGGCTTGTTATAACACTACCTCATTAAGTGAGGAATCGAATCCTGTCAAGTTTGTAGGATAACGTGTTTCTCAGATTTAATTTGCATATAAATTCCTCAGGGTCTTAAAAAAATACAGATTTGACTCAGTAGGTCGGGGGCAATCTGAAGCTCAGGGTACTGAGGAGCAGCCAGGGCCTCTTGTACCGCAGGACGAAGCCACCCCTGGGGTGGGAGCTGCCAGGCCTGAGCAGGCTATGCCTGTGCTCACTCTTGTACAGGTGCAAATCCCCTGCGGTGACTGTAATCATTATGTATGTCTAGAGTGTACCACTAAATTCAATGAAAACAAAAGTTCATGAGACCAAAGAAAAACCTTTTTCCTCTGGAAGTTATCTCAGGGTTTTGCTCTTGTTATGTGAAGTTGACCAGCATGGTCTGCAAAGTCAGTAACTGGTCAAGACGTACCCTGCTGAGATCTCAGGGACTCTAGGCCACAGAGTCGGGGGCTCAGAGAGAGACACTGAAGCTGAGTCCACAGCCCTGGAGGTGACTTCCCCACTGACTACCATCTGCACACGGTGTGCCCCCCACCCGCGGACCCACAGAAGAGGCCCAGGGCAGGTGAGCTAGATTTTCTTCACACTCTGAATGCCGAGTGAGATTTTCCCTGTAGAACCAATCTGGGTTTCTAACCACGCGGAGCCCCCAGAAGCCACTGGGTTGACTGCCTTCCTTTCCCTCTCTGCTTCCTGTTGCAGCACAGAATTCTGACTCCCTGCTGCAGCCACGGCAGAGAAGGCAGCATGTGCTTTACTCCTCTTTGCTTGCTGCCAGAAGCCATCTTGCTGACTGTGGAGGGGGAGCAGGAGCTAGGAGCTACATCTGAGGAAAACGCAGGCGAGAAGAGGAGGAGCGGGTAAGGACGGGGTGCTGTGGGCACAGGCAAGCTGGGTGGTGACCCACGGCAGCATCCTGAGGCCACACACATGTTGTTGGTGGGATGGAAAGCAGTGCAGCCGTTCTGGAAATCAGTGCGGAAATTTCTCACAGAATTAAAATTACCAATTCAGTCTGACCCAGCTGTCCCTTCCGGTGTCCTCCCTGAAGAGTTCAAGATGTCAGCCTGCAGTGAGGCACGCATGCGGATGGCTGTTGCAGCACAACTCCTAATAGTGAAACTGCAGGCAGCCCGGGTGCCCACCAAGAGAAGGCTGGCTGAATGCAGTGTGGAATCCACATGGAATAGAACACTACTCAGCTGTCGGTGAAGGAGGCCCTTCACCTTGGGGAGTCACCAATCGCAGGGCTCCAGAATATCAGGCAGTTATTTCCTGCATTTGGAGCTCAATATTTCAGTTCGTTGGTTGTGGACACCTTTCTTAAGGTGCAGAGGTTCACAAAGATTTATTATAGCTGGAAGTAATATAAGCATTTAAGGATGAAGAGATCAGACAGTAAATCCAGAGAACCAGCCGCTTCCTACCCTGCTTCCTGCCTTTCCCTGCTGCAAGTCCACACCACTGTGCCAACCGTCACTCTTAGGCCCGTTTTACCTTCCACTTCCTCTTCCAATTCCTTACAGCACAAAGTTGAAAGTGGGAGCAATCAGAGATTTTCACTTTCTACATTTTTAGATTATTGTCACCAACAGAGTATCTTCTTTTTTAAAACCCCTGGGGGCAATTTTAGAAGGTGGACTGTGTCTTCCTGGATTATTCACATTACTAAAACAAGCACACACATCTTGAGCTAAATCCCGCCTGAACCCTCTTAGGAAGTGCCTGAAGGTCACCATCTTGCTGTCTCTTGAAGTGTGATGCGCACAGCCCTGGCCCTGCGCCTGGAGACAGCTCTGTGAGGTTTCACACCAGCCCCACCACGGCCTTTGCCAGGAGAGCACTCAGGAGGTGACTCAGAGCAGCACGCAGCAGTGGGCTGCAGATGAGAGCCAGGTGGAGGGCTAGACAGCTGAAGCCACCTGGAGAATGGAGCCTGGGGCCTGGAAAGACAAGACTGGGCAGTGAGGGCTGGTAGGGACAGTGGACGTGGGGGGATGTGCCCTGTGGAAGTGCACTGGTCACAGAAGAGGCTTTCTGCAAAAATGACAAGGGTGTCCCTGGTGCTCAGCTAGAGGGACCTCTAGAGATGACTGCCATCGGTGCTGAATTTGGATGGCTGGAATTTTACATACCAGAGATTGAGTGCACAGTGCTGGTCCGTTAGGTTTTTCATCCATCTTGGAAAATAACCTTTAATTCAATTGCCAAACATGGGCAGCAATCCAAGCTT